TATTTATACATTCATAACACTCGAGCTTTTATTATGAATTGAAATAAGGAACTCAGATGTTACCAACGAAAAAATCCTTCCATAGTGGTGTGCGTCTAGATACATAAACCTCATGCATATACTCCATGTACATTTTCATATGTTTTGCATATCACGCTTGCATAAACTTTCGCTGTTTAATGACAAGAAACTCTACCGTCATACGCGTTCTTACGCAATTGCTTTCCAGCGGTAGCGGAACATCGCCATGAAAACGTAAACAGCTTTGAGACGCGGCGACACATTTTTATCACGTCTTTAATCTCAGGGCGGCTCTTGCCCGACAAGAAGCATTACTTAAACCGCCCGGCAAGAGAAATAGTAGCGTCCCACCTTGAAAGATGTACTATCTGTCCGTTGTCCCACAAAGTTCCTGAAGAAACGTCGTGTTTCAAGAAGGGGGCACGAACCGCACGTAACAGCCGCCCTTGGAAAATTCATCCGAGTAGGGAGAACACAACCCGTCTTGGCTGAGCCGTTAGCCAGCGAGAAGGATTGTCCGCTCAGTCAGAGCAATCGAATCTAACGAACGCGTGCCTGGATGTGAAATCTATACACATAGGGTGGCTCTTAAATGCTTGACGAAACATTTATTTGAAGATGTGAATATAAGAAATCAAAACTGATAATCAAGTAGATTATATTACGTTTACTCATTTGCTCCAAAATAAGTATTCGAGTTCTATTTGTGATAGGTACTTATTAACTGTTGCTACAAGACAATTGACACTGTATAGTACGAGCTTAGTTATTTTTATTACAAAGAATCACGAATTTAAGCCGATCACCCGTTGTATATGTTACATCGAATCGCATAAGAAATTAAGGATTCGTTCCGGGGCTTCGATCTTCCCTCCCCAATGATTCGTGTCCGGCAAGCAAGATAAATGGACGTCAAAGAAACGCAGGAAGTTCGCTCGTCCCCTTTATCGAGCGAGACGATTCATTCCTCGGAAGCCACTCCGGCATACAAACGCGAATCATTGTTTTTTTTTTTTCTTCTTTCGATACCTATATCTCCGACGTCCTCCCGCAACGGGTCCGTGCATCGGATAAATGGAACACTGGCTGTTTCTATTTTCCTTGTTATCAACCAACCCCTCTGGCCTCCATTTTTTTCTATTGAACGTCGAGGATGCAGCTTTTAGCATGTCTCTCTCTCCCAAGGAACGCACGGACGCGAAGCGGAGCGGTTTATAAACTGGAATCGACAGCTTCTCGTTTTGCTCCCGTGTTCGCGATTTACTGCCCGCGCCACTCTTACTCCCCCGACCGACTCGTGTATGCGTATGTTCGGTTCCCAAAGAATAAATACACAGGAGCAAGGGAAATAAATAATACCCGGAGGAAGAAAATAATAAGCAATTCCCGATGGAGAAGCTTTCGATTGCTCTGAAGGAGAGAATTAAACGATTCTCTTTCCGTGGAAATTCTAATCCCAAATAAATTGTTTACTTTCATGTAACGTGACTGTAATTTATCTGTGTATGAAATTTTACGTGTGACATGAAGTTTCTCTTATATCCGAGGAAAGTGGTGTGATTAAAGTCGCAATTCTTAAATATAGCATGGACTTTTTATGCCAATTTAACCGGCTCGCCATGGGCCAGGGGGAGGAAGGAAAAATAAATAATTAGGAAAAATAGTGAATGGAGACTCGTGTAAATAATATTTCGCACGTGGCAATGCGCTCTATCAATGATTGAGCCCCTCGGTGGAGAGACCAGGGCTTAAAAATAGCTGATGGGACGTTCGAATCGCGGACCCGTTCAATAGTAAATACCAGCCAGTACACCTTTCGCAATGAGCGGCGGTGTGCTGTATCCCTTTGCTACTGCTGTACCTAACGGTATTCGAGTCGACACCCATGAAATAGTTGCGTTCCTTGCCGTAGAATAAATACCTACCCCTAGGTTCCTTCGTGTCCGCTTTTTCCCCGTCTTCACTTTATCTTCTTTCTCCATCGTTTCGTGTCCTCGTTTCCTACACCCGGCACCCACGATGTCGTTTGTCTTAGTATATCTTCGAACCGAATGCCAGGCTTGTATCTTTCGCCTTTCGCGGCTTCGCGAAATTAAGTGTATACTTCCACGTTTAAAAGGCAGTCAGATCATCTACGCGATGCCAATTTATTTCATACGTTATTGGTACTCGACGATTTCTACGTTGCCTTTATTAGATGTATTGGATGGTATATGGGAATTATTAGGTGATGAAGAGAAATCCGAGACGATTTAGTTACACTTTCTTTGAACTATTCTATTTTATTATAACAATCATATAATTTAAACATATAAGTATACATTGTTAAAAATAAACAGTCTGAGCTTTTATCTATTTGACGTTTACCACGCTTTGATAATTGTGTATCAGCTAAGAAGAAACGCGAAACACGTGAAACAGAATCATTTGTTTTAACGAAACGCTATAAAGCATTCTTAATTGAAATGTGTAAATGTGTGTGTGTGTGTATGCAAATGCGTATGCTCTTAGCGACAATGAATTCATTCAAGTGTTAATCGAATTGGTTGGACTTCGGTAAATTTATCTATTGAGTGAATTTCGGAGATACAGCTGGGCGAGCGTAATCCGAGTAAACGGTATGATGTTTCAAAGCTCCATCGAAAAAGTCTCACGCCGATTGACGAGTCACGCGGGAGAATGCGACGGGAATTCAAACACGCGCTAAACCAAAGAATCCGATCGATATAAACTGTGTATTCAGTCGGTACTATACACGACTGATCCTCTCTTATGGACTAATGGAATGAGTTTTTCAAGTGGGATGTACATAGGTATTTCCCACTCTGAATACGATCGCAGAATACTACAAAATTTAACTATTATTCAGCCTCTTATCTTTTTTCCATTCGCAATTGTTTAGCATTACACGCATACACTGACTATTTTAATATAGGAGTAATGTGAAAATAAAGTCGTATAAGATAATTTTCTATTTTAATAAAAGAATTGAGATAGATATAACAAATCTTACCGATGAAGTATATAATAAATATATAAACGTTTTTATTGGAATCTGTTTCAGGTTCTGCATATAATTAATGAGGTGCTGGAGCCAGTACGCTCGAAATCCGCAGAAATGCCAATCTACAATCCGAACGCCTTTGATTTCCTGAATCAAAGCGAGAACCTAGACTTGGGCATTCATCGTGTTCGGTAAGTGTCAATTCACATAATAGTAAAGTTAATGTACAAACGTTTGAAAGAACGTAGACAGATATATTAATGTTGAATACGACGATACCTACTTAATAAGTATGTTTTAAATCTATGCATAATAGCATTAGCAAGAAGCAAAAGTTAAAGTAAATCGATTGTTTGTAGTAAACGAATAAATATGAAGTCTCAGTTGGTGCTCGTTATCTTTACATTATTCTTAAGTTAATAAGCTTATTCCGTTCGGTTGTTCGTTCCCCCTTCTTTGTTGCATCTTATTACTTATCGGATATAGTCTCTCTTTTTCACGACACTTCTCAGTAAAATACACCCGCGCAGCCCGTTCACATTCGGAAGACGAAGGCGGAACCAAGTTTCGTAGTTGTTTCTTAAGTAACTTCGATGCTCACTTTGTCAAGTCTTTATAGATATTTAAAGACACGGTGCCCGTGGAGCTTGCTCATCTGAGTAAAGTAAAACTTGAATGAATTAGCTTCACCCCTACCGAAACTTCTTTAAGTTCCGCTGCATTCCATTTTACCGTTCGCCGTTCAACAACCTTCTCGTTCATTCTTTTTACTAAGTAAAGTATTAACGCCTCTAAAACTCCTTCCAAGAAGACTGCTAATTGTACTTAAAACCTGTCACGTTTGTATTATTCATTTATAAATAGATTCTCTACTCCTCATCACTAAATTTAGTGAAATGTAATATGATAAATCAACTGAAGCAATATCTGACTTAATTAACGTTTCGTAATACAGACTTAGTCTCCTCGTTTTGCACTAATCAGTATAGAAAGATTTTTTATTTTTATTATAATTATTGCCGGGTAAAACGCACTTAATTAGGAGTAGAAGTACCTAAACTCGTTCAATTAACGAGTCCAATTTTCTTGCAGCACTTTCCGGCAGCGGATCGTGAAGGAAAAGAAGGAAGATGTCTTCAGGGCGGACGGACGTTACACCTTTTTCATTCCTGTTGAGGAGGGTTTCCAGGTAAGCTGCTTAGCAACCTTCCCATATCGATCATTCCGAAAGAACCTTAATATCCCCTGTTGCGAATCCCTGAAAAGATTCCGAGGCAATACTAACTCGTTCTGCTCGGGGGTGACAAATTCTGATCGATTAGATTTACCATGAACTGGAAATCCATCGAGATGACTCGGTTGTCGTTTGAAAAATCTCCTTGCTCAATAATCGTTTACAAGTAACAAATGATAAAATCGGTATGAAATATTTTAATGTTCATGCCCGTTTTAATGCAACGGGCTGTTAATCTAACATATTTAACAAGGGCCAAGATTTACATTATCGCGTTTTATTCTGCTATTACTACGTGCGTGATTTATCATCTCGATACACACAGTAATGCATGCAATTTAAAATTATTTGAAAACGATAAGTTCTTTTTCCTATTTATACGTTCGGAGGACTTTTGTTGCGCGATATAGTGCGCCGTAAAAGAGCAGCGAGCGGATTCATGCAGAAAATCACCGACGGTAAACGCGATCAATTAAACTTCGTCCGCGCGTGCTGTTCTTATCCTCGCGAAAATCGGGCGAGGAAATGTAAAACGTTAAACGAGAGCATCGAGAGTACGCGGAATCGGTGGCGCGCCGCAAACGACCCCGTTAAACTGTAATGGGGCGGGAAAGTTAATAACGACGACGGGAGGGTACTAGCCAACGTCGCGACGTGAGGCGACGCAGATACAGATCGGTAATTTGTCGGCTCCGGTTTTTCCTAATTCATCGACTTCAAATCGCGTGCTGGTTCGTTCCTGTGGTAATCAAACTTAGGACGTGAAATCCAGAATCCACTGGTCACCGAACTATTTTCAGTGTCTGCGAATACTGTCGGATGTAACGACCTGGTCGTCGGTCAGAAAAAATCGAGAACGCCGGAAAGATAAACGAATCTGGGTTCGAATTCGTGTCATTTGCAAAAGTTCCATCGAACGGAGTCATCGTTAGTCGTTCCAGAGGAACTCGGCTTTCCGTGTACGTGCTTTTATTGTACGAACTTTTCGTTCCTTAAAATCTTAAACTTCTGAACTCTATAGTCATTGAATTATATCTAAGTAGTTTTATCATTTTTAGTTTAATTGTTTGTAAACTTGACTAAGGCATTTTAATATTTGGAATTTAATAAAGTAAAATGAAATATTCATTTCTTATAATAACGCAAAAAAAATCTGTTAAGGTGTGACATAATGTACGTTATAGTCCTGTTGGAGGAACTTGACTAACACGTTTTAATATGAATATCTGAAATTTAATATAGTTAATTATATAGAAATTAAATATTTATTTCTTGTAGTAACGCAAAAATTCTGATAACACGTGACATAATGTATGTTATAGTCCTACAGAAAGTTATTATTAAAGAAAGTGAAAGATGGAGGATAGGAAGTTAAGCTAGAAAGGTTTCACATTATTATAGGGTATATAAAAATTAAAGGGTAGTCTGGATTTCGATAAAACCGTGGAATAAAATGAGAAGCTATAATTAAACAAGGTTTCCACTAGTTTCCACCTCACGGAAATTCATTGATAATTCTTTCACTGAAATTTATCCAACGACAGTGAAATACGCTTTAATTAGACTGCATTAAGAATTTCATACATTAATTAAAATGTTCCACGAAAAATGATATGATATAATAAAATAAGAGAACTTGTAAAGTACTTACTATTATCTATATAATGAAAAATGATTTAGATTTGCATACATTTATATGCAAAAATCGGAGCCGTGAAAGCGCCATCATCGAAAATAGTGAACAAAAATGTATAATTTACGCAAAAATCAGTGGTTAAAATTAGAATAAACGCATTGTGCATTTTCACAAAATTGAAGTGAATGCGGGAGAGAAAGAAAATGATGGGAATTTTTTGAGTATAGAACGGAAATTACTTATGGAAATCATCTGCGTTTCCCAGAAATTCTCCACCGCGTAACCAAGGTATCGGATACGCATTCGTAGCTTGATTGCCCAATGTATATCCCACGCTCGCGTGTCTATGTGTGTATGCGCGGGTATAAAGGGAAGAGAAGGCGAGACTCGGAATCGAATTTCGACCCTGAAAAGCTTCGTTCCGTTCACACGGTGGGACCGAACCGTATCGAAAAGCACTCGACGCGGTACGTAGTCGTCGTCGGGGCTTTTCCGATCGAACGACGTCGATGCCTCAATGCTGGGGCGTAAGGAGCCCGCGGCTTTCTTCGCTCGAATGTGGGGTCGTCTACGCGACCATTACCGAACAGAGAGCGAGCGGAAAAAGAAGGGTTAAATTAATAACGGGAGAGCTGAACGCCGTCGCTGCGCCTGACCGAATGGGCTTTGTGTTTTCGGAAAACGAATCGTCAGTCTGGGATGCTAGCTTTGGAAAGTTCTTGGGGAAAGCACTCACGCCGTGGTGGTGAGAACGACGTGGAACGATGGGGAAAACGTTTAAGGCTAAGGGCGGGTTCGATGTGATTGGGATGCTGTGGAAAATAATAATGAGAGCGGCGAATGAGGCGAAAGTAGAGCTCTCTTGATAGTGAACGTCTTGCGAATACTCTTCACTGCTGGGTAGAAGGAAAGGAAAATAAAAATCTTTAGGATTTTAAAGCATTCGAATTCAGTAAAAAAACAATTTAAAAATAATACTTTTATTTTATTAAACTTTTAATCTCACAATAAATTCTGTGTTTGAAGACGTACTAATACCACAGTGATACAAAATAAAAGAAAGTATTGCACACTATATTACACAGTTTGAAAAGCTCGCGATAATTAGCTATTAGCCGGTACATTCTATTTCCCTCTGTTTTCGTGGAAACGAGCAGGAAGACGAAATATAAGAGAACAAAGAAATGGATTTCCTCGAGCGACGGTGCGAGCAATTTCCTCCCGCGGTGGTGGATGGGTAAACAGAAAAACAGGAGGAACGAAATCGTTTCGTCGGTAGCTGCGTTACGTGATTACATCTTACATGATATTGTGAATAATTCCTCGGAGCTTCGAGGCACGTACAGTTCTCTGCTTGCATCTGGAATTAACTGAAACAGAAGAATCCGAGGGCAGAAATAAAGCCTGGAACTGGTTGCTGGAAAATACTAGCTCAGGTGAACAACAAGTCAAACGGAAAGAAGAATTCTCTTTCCATAAAATAAGAAAACGGTAGAATATATATAATAATACTGATTTGTAAGACTGTCATAAATTACATTTCACAAAATATTATTTATAATTCAGCACGATATTCTGTATTATAATTATTTCAATAATTTGTAATGAACTTTTTTAATGGTAATCCTCTTCACCGTCGGATTCCATGCTAAAAAAGAAATACGTGAAGAAATACCAGTTAAACATCGAACGTACACAACAAAGTTTTACTCAGACAGAAACAAAATTTACAATCTCCAGCACTTCATCCCGCATTTGACGGTAGATCGCTTCTCAGGCCGTACTCCCTTAATGAGCCGGCTGCAGGCACCCTCGAAATCTCGATCGCGGGAAACGGACGACACGTTTTATCTCTGTCACGAAAGTTGTTGCAACATCGGCCGATGGCATTAATACGACTGGCAGCCAATGGAGGAGTATCGTCGTGCCTTATCACGAATCGAAAATCTATCGTCCATTCCAATCTCTTATCCATTAAGCCGAAATGACTTTTACCCTCTTGCTGGCAAATGACAAGGGACTCGTGTAATCATCTTATGCATTATAACTAGTCCTATTTGATGACTTGGATGTTGCACTATATTTTATCTACTAATGACAATATTAGACATATCGATAAAATAAAGTATTAAAATCTGAGTAACTGATAGTTTTAAAAATTCTTTGAGCCAACATATTCAATTTTATAAATTCATTAAATCACACAGATCCAACAAGTCCAACTATAATTTTCTATCTGCCACATTTCGTGAGCTCTGTTACTTTTTACGAAAACTGTAAACAGTTTTTTTACATCATACACGAATGCGTTTAATCGGCTCGTTGCTCCTGGTTACCCCTTGGATACGCGTGCACCCTCGTCTCGGCGCCGCGTCTTTGACGTCGTTGCCGTTCGCCTCCGCGGTTTTACGCGATTACACCGCATTAGAGGCCGTTTACATGGACCCTGCGAGCCAGGTCCAGTCGGGAATTCCCGCGGGAAAAGCGAAAGCCGGAGTCGGACAAGGGTTGAAGTCCAACCATAAAGTGCAAGTAATTAATGAGATGCAATGTCTTATCGACTGGTTAATTAAATGTTTTCACTGCTTGTCGGAGTTTCCCTCGGTACTTATAATTTAATGATGCTAACAGGCTGCGCTGTCTCGTTCGAGATAGCCTGGATAATCCGGTTTCTTATGAGACTGGCTATGTATCGTTAAATACGTTATTAACTATCTCTCTTATATTATGTACTTATTAGCGTTCTAAATATTATATGAACATCCATTTTGATGAATATTGTACGCTAATATACCGTTCTCGTGATATTATAATGTGCCTGCAAAGAAATTTCCTTTTACTGTTCACTTAGAAATGGCAGATAATGGGAATTGATTTTATACTATACGATAGAATA